TATTATTTAAAAAATATTAAAATTTTACTAATTTGTTTAAAATTAGTTCTCCATGGAGTTGTATCTATACTGTTTTGTAGCTTGTTGATTTAAGTTAAAAGTATTTATAATACAACTAACTAAAGTCAATTACAATGCGAAAAAAGCTTAACAACAAAAATTTTGTTTCTTACTTTCAATGCTGCAATCATCTGATATCTTCTAATAGTTTTATAATTATCTAGATTTTTTCAAATTAAAGATTCGTATTAATATGAATAAAATATTTATTTAGCTGTTTTGAACACAACTTTTATAAAATCTTTTTGTTGATTGCACAATATGAAAATAATTGACAAAGCAAACTAAATTAAATCCAAATCTAACTCAAATTGGCAATCAGCGTCTGGAATGGCTTGGCACCGGCATAGACCTGTATCCTTGGGCGATGGCTTCTTTCATCTAGGGGCACTGCCTCCACAGGCTCCTCGTGCCCACTGTCGACTGCCGGTTGATTAAAGCTGCGCTTCTGCAGCTTCTCCCACTTGACCTCTTTGGGCTCATCTGAGGCTGAGGCTGAGCCTGAGGCTGAGGCTACGGCCGAGGCACTTGAGATGGTACTGGGCATGGTCATGTCAATAGTATGGCTGCCATTGCTGGAGCTGGTTAGGCGCCGCAGCATCTCCTGGTAGTGCGGCTGATCGGCCGTTATGTACTCGGGCTCATCCTCCGGGTTCAAGATCTGGTAGTTGGGTGTGCCCAGCTCGTAGGTGGTCGCATCGCCCTGATGCATCTTGTTCCTCAGCTCGCTGGCATCCCAGCCATACTGTTGCTGCAGTGGCGCCATCCACGATGTGTCCTCCGCAGACGTCGCCTTCTCGCTCGCAGTGGAGCCCAGCAGAGACAGCAGCATGAGGGTGATTGCGACTCGTGCGGCTCGTGTAGGCGCTGCGTCGCTCATTTTGCTACTGAACGCTCCAAGTCGACGGCACCATCGTTGCATTTGGGTTTTCGGCTGAGACTGACCCACCGAATGGAAGACCCTCCCTCTCTGGCCCGTGCACGTGCGCCGCTCAATAGAGCTGGAGACGATGACGCGTCTGCTACGTGAGATTATCAACTTCGCTGGCTGCTCGTCTCGAGTCTCGTCTGCAGATAGCATTAGTTAATCGGAGCATCTCTGCAGTTCCATTTAACCTTATCCAACGATGACACACTGCGAATCGTATCTGTGAGTAACTGTGAGACACTCCAACTTCATTTTACCAAAGCACAACTGAATGAAATGCTAAATAGGTAGATATATGCATCTATATACATATGTATATGTAATGTGTAAGCATAAAGAAATGCATATCAATTGAGATTATAATGAATTATACTAATATAATCTCTAATGTGAACGTGCTTCTAATAGTTATAATTTCATTTTTAGATCACAAGAAATATTTAAATACTTAAATATACATACATAGTCATTTATATCTTTTATATGATTTGCGATATCTATATATGATTTTCATAGAACTAACAAACTGTTTCTATTATCAATAGGAAATTGCTGGAAATAAGTGACACGTTTTAGCTGTCAGGTAATTTTTAATTTTTCATTAGAAATCATGCAATCATGAGCTCTAGAGATGGTGTTTCAAATTGAATTTATATACCCGTTCACGGAGTAAAACGAGTATATTAATGTGTAAGTATGCTAATGCTAATAAACTAATAACTAATAAACAAAATATATAT